CACACTTGGGAGCTTATTCCTCTTATTGAAGGCAAAGTCCCAGTGGGCCGCAAGTGGATTTATACCATTAAACATCAGGCTGATGGACCAATTGAAAGATACAAAGCTAGGTTGGTAGCAAAAGGACACACCCAAACATATGGGATTGACTATCAAGAGACCTTTGCTCCTGAAGCCAAAATGAACTCTATCTGAATCATTATGCCCCTTGTTACTCATTATTCATGGCCTCTATACTAGATGGATGTGCAGAATGCCTTCCTAAATGGAGATCTTCATGTATATATGGATCTACTGCCAGGGGTAATCTTACCTAAAAGTGAGGGGAAGGTTTGCCGTCTAAAAAAATTTCTTTATGGGCTTAAACAGTCCCCTAAAGCTTGGTTTGATAGATTTAGGAAAGTTATTCTCAAAATTGGGTTTACACAATCACATGTAGACCATACTTTGTTCATAAGAAGGGTTAATGGCCTAGTAAGTAGTAACCTTGTTGATAGTGTATGTGGATGATATTGTTGTCACTAGAGATGATCACTCTGGGATAAACCAACTAAAAGTCATTCCTTGCTTCTAAATTTGAAATCAAAGATCTTGGGAATCTCGGATACTTTCTTGGAATCGAAGTGGCAAGGTCAAAGGGAGGGATATTCATTTCACAGAGGAAGTATGCCCTTGATCTCCTTCATGAAGTTGGAAAATTGGGGTGTAAGCTAGTTGAAACTCCTATTGACCCCAATCATAAATTGAGTGTTGATGATGGAGATATTCTTGCAGACAAGGGTGTCTACTAGAGGCTTGTTGGTCGGATTCCTTACATGTGCTTGACTCGACCTGATATATCCTATGTTGTTAGCATGGTGAGTTAGTATATGCACAGCCCCAGAGATTGACATATACATGTTGTCAACAAGATTATACCTAAAGGGGTGTCCAGGTAAAGGAATGTTATACTCTAACTAGGGACATCTTAAGGTTGAGGCTTATACTGATGCTAATTGGGCAAGGTTCTATAGATGATAGAAGATCCACCTCACCTTGGTAGGAGGTAATGTTGTGTCTTGGAAAAGTAAAAAACAATCTGTTGTTGCCCGATCTAGTGTTGAAGCCGAATATAGAGCTATGGCTCATGGTGTATCAAAGTTGCTATGGTTAAAGTCCTTGTTATCAGAGATTGGGATCCAAGCTGAAACCCCAATGATGCTATACTATGATAATCAAGCTGCCATGAACATTGCTCATAACCCTGTTCAACATGATCGCACAAAAAATATTGAAGTTGATAGACACTTCATTAGATAAAAGATAGTCAATGGAGAAATATGTGTACCTTTTGTTAGGTTGGAGGATCAACTTGTTGATTGCCTCGCTAAGGGTCTCAACAAGCCAAAACTTGATAGAAACTTGAGCAAGCTGGGCATGATAGATATCTATGCAGCTTGGGGGGGGAGTGTTGAGAATATGCATTTGACTTAGCGGTATTGTTGTCCTTTCTGCTATTTGTATTTCGAGCACCCTTATAGGGACATAACTGTAATTTCAATCTTAGTATATAATGAAATGTTTTGGGTGTGAACAGTAACACACCCATTCTCCCTTAACTCTTCTTCCTACACTCAACAACTGGACCCATAACCAAATTGTTGAGAAATGCACTCCATTCTCTGTTTGGAGTCATTCTTAGATGAGACCATGGACCACCTAATGTAGGTTCATAATTCTAAAAGAGCCTAGAATAGAGACAAAAAGTATCCTATGATGAAAAACTATAAATCCCAGATTACACTGCAGGAAACAATAAAAAGAGACCAACCCTGTGGACACTGGGAGAAAGGGTGAAAATGTGAAATGGAGATATGGGATGATCCAACAAGACTTGAGCACCACTTCCAAACTTCAGAATTCAGGAAAAAAAACACCAAAATCTTTAGTTTTCTTGATTTTAGGGATGAATCTCCAAGACACCTTTCTTGGACAGCAGAAACTGTTCAAACCTTCTCAAAAAGTTCCAAAGATCCTCCTAAAACCAGGAAATACAAAGGGTATTCATCAACCCTTTCGGATTTCTATGCAGTTCCCCGATCCTATAGCTGCATGTTCTTCACCCAAGGATCGACTGCTGTGATACCAACTTGTTATTTTAGTTTAGAAAAACTATAGATCAGAATGAGATGCTGAAGGAGAGAAGAAAAGAGAGGAGAAAGTAAACAGATCTGAGAAGTGAAGAAAAGTAGAAAAATAGCTTTGTAATACAAAGAAAATGACATATACCCCTGGTCATGCACTCCTCTATAACAGCAACAATAAGTTAAGATATAAAACAAAGAAAAGTAGAAAAATATCATCTTACCAAGATTATACTCCACACGACACTGTCTCCTCAATGCCTTTTGCGCAGGATTTACAAAGACATTGAGGAGTCACTGTACAAAAAATCCCTCCCCACCCAAGATTTGCCCAAAGAATCGGCCACTCTATTCATCTCTCTAAGAATCCATCTAAAATGACAAAAAAACCGAGGACAAAAAGATCTCTGATTTCATTAAAGAAGAAGCTGAATCTCCAAGGACCAACTTTTAAATACTTCATCCAGCTGATAACCATTTTAGAATCTCTTTCCACCACCAGATCAGTTAAATTCAGGTTAGTTGCAGCTCTCAAACCCACGAGCAAGGCATGAATTTCTGCTTCTGCTGAGTCTGTTATACCAATCGGCCCACTAAACGCCCAAAGCAGCTTACTATTAGTTTTAATAACTTGGCCCTCTATCCCATCCTGTCCCCTGTGGCTTGAAAAACTTCTGAAGCTGCCATCAAATTGAAGAATGGCATCCACCGGAGGTCTGGGAGGAAGAGTAAGGGGGCTAGGGGGCACCAAGCAAGAGTTTAGCACATTCCACAAGTTTCTATCCAAATCTCCAAAGGAAATGTCACTAAACAGCTTGTGAGCTTTCAACCAGCCACTGATTAGGAATAGGATTCTCGCTTTCAAGTCTTCCAAAGGAGAGTTGCCTTAGCCCTTTTGTGTCATTCCTCCCAGATGCTCCACATTACCACATGAACTACCACCTTCCCAAACAATCTGCCTCTATTTCCCAACCTACAACCCAGCCATTGGTTGAGAAAATCTCCACTTCAAGAGGAGGAACCCAAAAGAAAGAGCTGTTACACAACTACACAAGAGGTTAAGGAAATTTTGCCACAGACTATGAGCCACTTCACAATTGATAAGAAGACGACCACATGATTCTCCTTCCTTTAGGCACAGTAAACACACATGAGGGGTCAGATACAAATGATCTTTTCTCTTCCTCAAGATTTTATCAAAAGTATTTATGCTGCCACGAGCCGCTTCCCAAAGAAAGAAGCAAACTCTAGGGGGAACCATGGAAAGCCAAATTTTCTTAGAAGGAAAGGAGGAGCCATCGGTCCCTACCACCAATCTTAAGAAAAAAAGACTTAACTGTGAAAAGTCCATTGGAGGAAGGCCACCAAACTCTTTTGTCAGGAAGCTCTGGGGCAATAAAAACAAAGGAGAGAAAGGAGAGGAGGGAGGAGATGGACTGAGATTCAGTGTTTGTTATTATTGCATAAGATGTTAGCATCTATGCATCAAGGACAAGGACACATTCAATAACATATAAGAGAAAAGATTAAAAAAATGCTAAAACTTCTTAAGGCCTGAACTAGGATTAAAATGAGGGTAGAACCACCAACCAAATATCTCCTCATGGGAAAATATCATCATCATCATCTAAGCCTTGTCCCAACTATATGGGGTTGGCTACATTAATCCTGTTTCACCATTCCATTCTGTTTACTGTCATATCCATTGTCAAGTTAAGTGCTTAAATCCTTTCTTAACACTTCCACCCAAGTCCTTTTTCTGCCCCTAGCTAGCTCTTCTAGCCCCATCAATTTATGACAGATCACTTCTTCTAACAGGTGCAATAACAGATTATTAATATCTTGAAGATCAACATCATTATTGATTGTCTTTACTCTTTACCCACAGAATTAAGGTTAGCTGCATGATTTGTATTCCTCTATTCTGTTTTAAGGTGATATCTTCTGTTAAATAGCTATAAGTCTTCTCTGACAACTAAAAGCCAGGTTCCTTCGTCTATATCCACTGTCCCTTTACAACTTTCAACGTGCACCACCACCATGTTAGTTCTCAGATGATTGTTGCTGCATGAATAGCAAGAATCTTGCTTTTTGGGAGACTGATTTAGTCCCAATGCAAAGAAACTAGCCAGACATCATCATCATCATCTAAGCCTTGTCCCAACAATATAGGTCAGCTACATGAATCCTGTTCCACCATTCCACTGTTCAGTGCCATAGCCATATGCATTAGGGGTGCAACTTGGGCAGGCTTGGTCTGGCCTTTTGTCAAAATTTCAATGGGTTCAGCTTGAAGCCCAAGTTCAAAGTAGTGTAAAATGCTAACTTGGTCCAACCCGAGTTGCGCCCTTAAGATCATTTCTCACTACTTAGCCCATGTCCTTTTTGGTCTGCCCTAGCTCTTTTAGCTCCATCAGTTAGTAACAGATAACTTCTTCTCACTGATGCAGCATACTTGTATATGGTTTCGTTTATCAATAATAAGTATACTTAAATCCATTAACAGGTCCAATAAGCAAAGCTGTTTTGGATCAAATAACTTTCAATGCTGACAAACCACAAGAACTAAGTCAAGAGAGTGGTAAGCACAATATATCTAAATTGCTCAATCACATCCATCACAATATATATAAACATGAGAAAAGGAAAATCATGTGAAGGGTGGTAACAAGAATTTTCTCAAATCTCAGAAATCTGTGTAACAGCTAATAGGCAACACTAAATGAAACAAAATAGTGAAATAACTCCAATGATAACCATTCTAATATATATCATATATGCAGGAAGAGACGTGTACAATGCAGAGACAGATCTTGGATCCAAAATGTCACCACATAAGAGAGAAAGATACTCTAATCATAAGCAAGTGAAGATTACCTGCAAATTGCAACAGTCACTGTGAATGAAGTATGTGCAATTAAGTTCAAATAGAATGACCGCCTCCAATCCACTTCTACAGGGTTTTCACCAAGAACTTTCTCCAACTAGTTGACATAGAAAAACAGATATAGTTGTGTTATTACAAGTCATCTTAAAGCACGATTCTTTTATAACATATAATATAAAGGATGATCTTGTTATATCATATTGTGAAAAATAAATAAATGTGCAAGACTGCAAGTACCACAAGTAAAATTTGAATGGTCACATATCTAGAATTCTAGACTCCTGAACAGGATTTACAAGCTATACATTGAAAAAAAAAAGCAAATGATCAAGAATTTTCTTTTAATGATAACAATCAAAGGATCAAGGATTCACAATCAATACAAATGTGTAAAAATTGAACCCCCTGATCCTTGTGAGTAGAGGACCAAAAAGGTCACTCTGACCACAAAAATTTAATCCCTTCTACAAAAATCTCTCTGGTCATGCTTAAACTAGATTTGTAAGTTGGCAAGGAACAACCATGGCATCCAGACACTATAATCAACTGGATAGAGAAAACCCCAAATCACAAGATACAAGAGACTGATCCATACAGCACCTAGTTAGCAAGTATATATTATGTATGCCTCTACATCTGGTTATGAGGTGGCCTATTGTTAAGATCTTTATCTAAAATAGCTCTCAAGAAAGTAGCCTTTTCGGGGTCTGGGGGTGGTGGGGACCATACCTTCTTCCATGGGAAATTCTTTGGGCCTCACTATAAGCATGATTTTACCAAGACATTGCATCTCAGATCACCCAACCATAACTTCACCTTTATTCCACTTGAGATGCTGCCCTGATTGAGTCTTGACAGAATGTCTCCACTACAAGGTTGGCCTCCTATTTTAGTGTTGCCTAAATCTTGGACTCCAGATTGCCTCATTGGAGATCAGGTCATGAAAGTACCTAGGAGTTCTGTATTTTTCTCTTTCTATTGCCACACCAAGAATCTTTCCCGAAGCAGATCCAGTTACCACAAGCAACATTGCTAAGGTGCTGATACCAAAAAAGATTGATACTATGCACCCAACAGAGTTTAGATCAATCAGCTTGATTAATAGACTTTATAAGATCATTGCTAAGGTGCTTTCTCGAAGAGTGAGGACTGTCCTTCCAACTATAATCTCTCAGGAGCAAAGGGTCTTTGTACAAGACAGACAAATCATTGGTCAAATTTTAATTGCAAATGAAAGTGTAGAGGAGATGAAAAGGGTTGGAAGGAAAGGGTTTGTTTGTAAATTGGATCTGAAAAAGGCCTATGACTTGATGGACTGGGGTTTTTTAATGGAGGTTATTATGAAGAATAGTGGTTCTGGGTTGTTTGGTTTCACAATTGCCAATGAAATACTTGGGATTACCTTTGGGGGAGAGTCTGAGAGGGAGCCTTTTGGAGCCCTGTAATTGAAAGATTTATGAAAAGATTGGCTTCTTGGAAGAAGAGCAACTTGTCTTTGGGGAAGGATTAATTTAATCAGATCCACATTAGCTAATATGCCTGTGTATTTTCTGTTTGTGTTTTGGATTCCAGTGGGGGTAAGTAGAAGGATTGAGAAGCGAATGAGGGATTTCTTGTGGGAAGTAGGGGAAGAGAAGAAGGAACATATAGCATGGTTTTTGAGGCGTCTAGGCAATTCTAGGCGACACTGGGATGCCTATGCAATAAAAATTTTATATACCATTCAGCATGTATATTAATTGAAAAAATAGCAATTCTCTTTATTAAGAACATTAAATTTCCTCTAAAAATGTGAAAAATCATCACATCTAAAAGGTAAAAATCTTTTACATATATTAATCTCATTACTTTCAAAAATAATACTACTATAATAAGTATTTAATAGAGCAATTTCATATCAATTAGCAGCTAAAGAAGGTTATTAACTTTATATGATAGATATTCAAGATGGAAAGTAAAATAGAAAAAAAAAAACAAGGATGGAGTTTCGGCTTTATTTAATTAGAGAGAGAATAGAAAAAACAAAACTCTTTATAATTCTATTCGTTCTTTCCTCTTTTTCTGTCTTTCTTTCTTTCTTTCTTTTTCTCTCCTCAAAGCCCTTTGATCTTTTAAATTTCAATAGTAAACCATTAAAACAAAGTATAATTGATATATATAGCATATAATAAAATGTATTAACAATTTAACACATACATTAATAAGATAATAGCAATATAAATGATATTATAAAAGGTGCCCACCTTGTAATTTTTGTCGCCAAGGCTGATCTTAGTTGCCTAGGCGGACGCCTAGTCGCCTAGAAGGGCGCCTAGTTGCTAAAGGTCAAGGCATTTGGGTGAGGCGCCCAGCCAAGGACAACTAGTCGCCTAGGCGACGCCTTGACAACTATGCCATATAGTTAAATGGGAAGTGGTGTGCAAAAGCAAGAAATATGGAGGTTTAAGTCATGAGAACATTCAGGAAAGAAACACTGCTTTCCTAGGGAAAAGGCTATGGAGGTTGCCTCTGGAAAGAGATAAATTGTGGACAAAGGTAGTTGTAAGTATTCATGGGCTTGTGACAAACAAGTCGGATTCTGGAGTCTTGGCTAGAGCTACAAAATCTGCTCCTTGGAAATCCATTCATGCCATCCTTCCATCATTCTTGCCATTCATTGGGTATAATCCATGCTCAAGAAACTTAGTCAACTTCTGGGAACATGTCTGGTTGGGAAACTCACCTTTAATGGAACAATTCCCTTCTCTTTTTGCCCTATCTACCCCAAAGTGGGAGCCCATTTCATCCTTCTTGGTTCCCCCCAACTCTAGTATAGGCTTTGGCTAGGATTTGGGCTTTAGAAGAGGGCTTCGAGAGAATGAAATTTGTAGTGTTTCAACATTGCTTCAAAATCTTCAAAAAGTAATGTTGGACCATTTAAAAAGTGATAACTGAATCTAGATCCCTTCTCCCTCTGGTTCCTTTAGCTGTGCTTCCTTATTTTTGAACTTGATACAGTCAAGTGATAATTTGGGAGTGCCCTTTCCTACCAAAGAAGTCTGGACCACACCTATTCCACCTAGGATTGGTGGTTTTTGTTGGGAAGTGTATCTAGAAAGAATTAACACAAGTGACTTGTTGCAAAGAAAAAGACCTAACTAGTGTCTTTCTCCCTCCTGGTGCCCTCTTTGCAAGGTTGATGGTGAGTCCTGCTATTACTTATTAATATCTTGCCCTTTTACTTCTTCAATTTGGGAATGGCTTCTCTCTTTGTTTGGGTGCAGATGGAACTCCTCGCCTACTTAAAAGCCTATTATCCTCTACTTTTGTTAGATGGTTGAAAAAGAGGGGTAGAATCATATGGTGTTGTACAAGGGCGGCAATTTGTTGGACTATTTGGGAAGAAAGAGACCAAAGAATATTTGTGGAAAAAGAAAGGAGTAGGGAGGCAATAAAAGAAGTCATATCCATCAAAGTGGTTCATTGGGTGAAGACATTTAAGTTGTTCGAGGACATTCCAAAAAGTGAGTTGATGAGAAAGTGGAAGGAAATTGCTGATTCTGCTCCTTACAAGGCAACTTATGGACAGGTCTGTCCCTACCTTTAAGAGGCTTCATAAAGCTGAGTTTTGATGGCAGCAGTGAAAGTAACCCAAGACCTGGTGTTGGGGGAGCGTTCAGAAATGAGGAAGGAAAAATTATTGCTTTATTCTCTGGTCCAGTAGGGGTGGGTGACACTTTAAGAGCTGAAATTCTAGCTGTCATGGAAGGAATTCAGAAAGCAAAGGACCTGAATATACGCAAGCTTGCAATTGAGGGAGACTCAAAGTTGGTGATTAGATGGCTGCAAAAGGAAGGGGATGAGGGTTGGTGGCAATATATTCATGAGAGGAGAAGAATTAGATGGCTGCTACAAGAAATAGAGATTACCTTACAATGGATGAAAAGAGATGTTAATTCCTTTGCAAATCAATTATTTCGGGCTATGTACCATTCAATATTATTAAATGAATGAATTTAATTCTGCTATAAATCTCTCTCTCTCTCTCTCTCTCTCTACATATATATATATATACACTAATATACACTTTACCTTTTCCAAAAAAACATCTACCCATACTATAGGTTTTTTTTTTCTATCAGTAACATGATCAAAAAAGATGCCATTGACCAGTTGAGGGAAAATAAAGGGTACACCCCCAGCATCCATGATCCAACTACCTATGATGAGGGTAACATGGTAACTCATGCTGTTAGTTCCTCAATACAAGTGAGCCCTATCCTGCAGAACATCTAAAAACACCAATCATGCCTAAAGGACCTAGATTTCCAAGAGAACATCCATCAAAATTCGACTTCATTCCACTGGCTAGTGATTCCCACTCTGGGAGTACACTTCATAAAAAGATTTTATATAAGGTAAAGAGAATATTATTTATGCACTTCTCTATAGGTATATAATAAAGTTGATAATATCCAATTGTTTAATCTGATTGAATATTGTTGTATGCATTGCCATTTTCTTCTCCACCACTATAATATACTGTACGCCATAAAACCTGCTCTTTAAGAGTCTTCAATCCTGGCATTCCTACCCATATTATTCTGATTTCATTTTACTTAACCTATGGTTAACCTATCCGGCTATCCAGTGTTTTAAAAGGCATAACTAGGTGCACAGATGAGGTGCATTTTGAGGCATGTCCCTCACTTGAACCCAGGCATGGCCACTTTCAAAAGACACTGACCTGCTGTGCCTTTGTGCAGGCCTGGGCTGAGGGCCTGAGGCACAAGGGAGCCCAGGCATGCACCTTTTTAAGTTTTTTAGTTCCTTCTGTATTCTTATATTTTTTAGGCCATAGTAATGATCTATTAACTTCTAAATAACCTTTAATTGTTGAAATTTGGTTTTTGAGCATTGAGAAATTAGAACTTTTATGCAACTTTATCTTATTATCCCGTGGTGCCTTTTAATTTCTTATTTATTTACGCTGTAGTTATTATGAACTTTAAACTTTTTTTTGTTTATTTTGAGGAGAAAAGATAACTTTCATCATGAATCGGGGGATGTACAAAAAGCCAATAAGCCAAAAAGACAGCAATTACAAAGGCATAATGT